CATTTTACCACTTGCTCGGTATAGTAAGTTTTTAGTATTAGTTTATATTAGTGTCCCTCGTTCGATATATATATTATATCGCACTTATAAAATAAATTAATATAATATTTAAATACCTTATAACTAATATAAACCTACTATTTATATAGTTATTACTCTCTATTAAAGAGATATATTAGCTAGATTACTAGATAATTATAGTAGATATATTAAAATAGTAATAAAAAACTATAATTTATTAATATTATATAAGCTAAATTATATAATATAATCGGTAAGCGAGTAATATATATAAGCGAGTGATATATCTAACTTAACTTACTAAATTTAAATATATTTATCTTAACTAAAACGCTATTAAATTAAATAAACTAAAATAAATCTATCTAGCTAGGTGTTACGCACTGCAAACTGGTCACAGTTAGGGTTAGTAGATCACGGGTTATACTCACGGGGGATCTCTAATCTTCCAACGTCAACGATCTGTCTAGACCTTGACATTTCCCATAGGAGTCCCACTATAGGCATGCCCGTGGTCATGCCTATAGGCTAGTGGGAATTCCTATGGTGGGACTAGACCCCCCGTGGGAGTCCTATAGGAAATATGGGAATTCCTATAGGACTACAAATAATGCAAATAGGGAGAAACTCGTGACTTGTATAATTGTACGGCTTTATGCTGGTTTTCTTAGGTATTGGTTTAGTGCTTATGGCGATATCTAGGCGACACCAAACGCCTACTAAGTTTATAAACACGCTTAGAGCATGGTCAGAAAACGTGATAAAATAAAGCTTTAAGTATATAAGTAATTTCTGGCTAGTTAGAAATAGTGGTGGGCGAAGGGAGCTCTCAACGTATATGGAGAAAAGTGACTATAAAAATATAAGTAAATTGTATAGGATAGAAATATATATCTCTTATGATAACACACTTTCTACCACGACTTCCTTTTTACACCACTAATAGGGATCACTAGACTTTAAATTTTACTTAGGTTGGTTATGACAATATTAAATCAATAAATACCGGTTTATTCTATAAAATTTCAACTGATGTTATAGGCGTAATATGGTTAAGGATGAGTACTAACAAAAACAAGTGTAAATAACGGTAAGTTATTATGATAACTCAGCGTTTTATCTATCCATTTTAGGTTAGTTATGCTAGCGTGGGAATTTTTTTTAGTCCCATGGGAATTCCCATATTTCCCATGGGCTGCACCTAGGGGGGGTGCCCGGCCCATGGGAACTATGGGCATGTACGGTGGGCCGAAGATTCTGGGGTGCCCATGGGAAATGTCAAGGTCTAGATCTGTCTCTCAACCGTACTGTTGCCAACAGGCCTTACTACAGGTTAGGTCCTTTTGAGGGTATCGAGGAACGATGCCAGGTAGAGCGCTCAGTGGGTCTATACCGGGGTATTGGCCAACTGATGGGTGTTGTCAAGTTATAATCAAGTAAGAAGTCACACTGGTAATCCAAAGGTAAACACTAGTAACAATGTGTAATTGAAGACGAAGAACTAAACTAGATACTGGCAATGAGTGTCCTTATATATCCTTCGTTTCCTACTCCCTGGGTGACTCCCCTGGAGTCACTGCCGGAGTCACCGTATACTCCCTGATATACTCCTCGGGAGTAGATGCGGGAGTCACGGTCACGTGATTCTGCCCAGGAAGGCGGTGTGGTTTTTCCCCCTGAAAAACCATCCCCTAAGATCTGGCCAAGGCGGTGTGGGCAGGCAGAACTGGTCGATTGGGTCTCGACGGCCCGTCCGTGCAGCATGTGGGGTTGCCATCGATTGGCAACTAGCCTGTCCATAGCACTTAGGTGGCTACCAGAAGAGCAAGTAAATACATAAATGACGGGACGGGGCAATGGTAATTCCGGCTGACAGGTTATTTCCTAGCACCTTTGAACGCAGTCTTATAGTAGCCTTATAGATAGCGCGGTGCGGTGTCAAGGCTCGTATTCTTAATGCCCGCGCCATGAAGGTGTTTAGAGGCCATGCTAATGGAATGCAGACTAGACCGCTAGACATCTTCATGAGAGCTTTCAACGGACTCAAAGCTAAGCGGGGAGCCATAGCGACAGCTATTGATATTGACGAGTTGGGCATACATGGTCCACAAGCGTATGATATCAAGTTGACAACATCTCGGGCGAAGAATTGGCTGCAACTTCCAATGCGGATACCATACCCCAGCCTGGGGGTTTCAACTATAACCCGGCAGACGAGCCATATTTAAGGCGCAGAGTCACCGGGTAAAGAGGGAGTACGGAAGCTATTGAAGCCAGGTTTATGATTAGGGCTGATAGAAGCCGAAGCTGGACTCGCAAAGCTTTAGACTTTAATATAGAAGCTCTGAAAAGAAAGTATAGAACTAATTTTACTTGTCACACTAATTTTTTTCTTTCCCTGCACCGTACTACCGGCAACGACTCGGCTTGAACACTTGTAGTCTCGGGGTCACGGAGAAGGCAAGTTATATATTTTTGGACTAAATATGATACCTCTCTATAGTCCATACTCTATTATTTTCCTCTTCCTTTCTCTCTCGGTAATAACAATCTCGAAGCGGAATTTATTTGAGCTAGTCATCGGGGTATTCATCTTTCATGTTACTCACAAACATCCTCTCCCTCTCATCCCACCGTTTGAAATGCTTCCCCGCAATGGCAGTCAAGCTTCTCGGCAATTCCGTGAAGCGAGGCTGAATTATTCCAATATTTTCCTCAGCCACATATCGGACACTTCGATCCGCCACACTATGCATCCATTGTTAGCGATCACCCAAGAAAAGGCACAAGACCACCCACAGCACATGATAGAAGCTTTGGTGCCTGCCAGCTTCCAATCGATCAATGCCCATTCTCATCATCCACTGTTCGCCCGCGCCACATTCCGAGTCCCAGCCAGTGATAATAGCCTCGTAATGATAGCGACGGTGGCGGAAAACCTGGCCCACCTTGTACTGTATATTTGCATTGCCACCGGTTCGCCTCCGAATCTGCTTTGGGATCTCATCCGCAGCCCTCATCACATGAAGGCTCTCCAGTATGTGCTCATGCTCGAACTGCCCATGAAACAAGGGAGCGATGTACTGCTCAACCAGAAAAATATCAGAAGGAAAGTCTGTAGCGAACAGTTCCATGAGCCATGGCAACTGATCGCGTAGCTCCATCGGCCTCGAATCACCCGACAATAGCATCACAGACCAGAGCGCTGCGTACTTTGCGCTCACAACATCTATTGACGCCGCACGCAAGGTCGGATTTTGTTCGACACGGATCGAGTTCAATATGTTCTTACCACAGCGCAAGATAACGCCCAAAGTCGATGCTTCACCCAGAGTTGCGATCTGGTCCATGTTGGACATGCCCAGAAATGTTAATTGGCTGCGCAGGTTTGAGACAGCAGTCTCCCTTGCACCCCGGAACGGGTCCAAGTAAAAAGGTTCCCCTGGCTCCATCCCACCCAAAGCATTGCCATTGATATCTGAGCCTAGCTGGGGGGTAATGATCACATGCACATGGAATGGAAATCCACAAGGACGGGCGTTTAGGCCCACACCCTGGGCAACAAAGCAGTATATTGCAGCTGAGACTAATGGCAGAGAGTTATGTCCGGCATTCTTGAGAGCCAGCCCTAAAAAGTTATGCTCCAGAGAATGATATTCTCGATCTGGATTGATCCCCGTCAGATCATTCAGCGCTAGCCAGGATGCTATGGCTAGTGCTTTCTCACGAGGGGTTAAGAGGTCAAGATCCGGGTGAGATGCGACAAAGCGGTCGAGGATCCCATGAAGAGAGTCTCGTATCTAGATCAGAGTCAGGTATAGATTTGTCGAGGGGGTACCCTGGGATAGCACCTACTTCATCCAGATCCCCAGTTCCATTTTCGGATATAAAAAGATCAAAGCAGGCCAAGGCTCTGTCAAGTGACACGGGTTCTCCGCGTTTGAGTTTTACCCATTCTGGTATGGCAATGCTTCGGTGTAGGCAAGTCAAGAGCGCGTGGGCATAGTATCTTTTATGATTGGCACAAGGCACTGGTCAATTTGAGGGAAACACATGCCAACTTGCATAGAATTAGTAGCCCACCTTCTGGCCAGATAATCCTCCCCGGACTCTACCATGCTATGACGTAGAAGTGTATCCTTTGTATCGTATCCCATATTGATAACACGGCGACACTTCTCAATCCGGCCGGTCTGGCTACCAAGAATACTACCAAGAAGCCGAGTGACAGATCGATCAACCTGATACTTAAAGACAAAGAGTGCTTTCCAATCGGTTGAATTCACTGGGCGGGCAAGCTTCTGGGGCATATCATGTCGCCCATTCCAGAACTTGTAATGCGACTGGCAATGGTGACGCCATAGTAAACGCTCATTCGTTACGTTTTGAAATCGACTGTTGGTTTGTTCGATGGCGGCGCAGGATTGAGGAGAAGAATAACATAGAATTGAATGTAGGATCTCGTCTGGAAGATGGATTAAAGACCGAACCATCCCTGAAGGCGGAAGATTGACGATGTCGGGAAGACCAAAGCAGAGGGCAATCAGAAAGAACAACCGGTTTACATTCCTCAATGAGTAAAAGAGAAAAGAAGTAAAAGAGAAAAATGAAATCCCAAAGTAAGAAATTTAGAGGATGTAGAAAGGAAATATCAGATTGAGATGTTTCTCCCCGCTCCTGTCTCCTTATCTTCCCTATCGAAGGCGCCAAGGCTTGAACTTCGTGTGTCTTTTTCCTTCCCTTTCCTCCTTTCTTCCTTTCTTCTGCTTATAGATAACTTATAGATACCCTCTACTTCCCATCTCCTTGACATATTTGAAATGAATCACTAAACAAAAGTCGCTTCACCGATTCCTGTATTCGCTATTCTCACACGCCATGGGCCAATTTCATTCCAGCCAGGCGAGCTCTGCTTCAGAACAATCAGAACAGAAGACCGACTATTATGAGCTGCTTGGTATAACACGCGGTGCAACAGATGAGGAGTAAGTTCACATCGATACGTGGTTATGGACATAACTAAAACTTGCCTGACCTCGCAGGATCAAAAAGGCATATCGAAAAAAAGCCCTTGTGTTGCACCCAGATCGAAACTATGGGAATGTTAACGAGGCTACTAAGCTGTTTGCCGAAATTCAATCCGCATACGAAGTACTGGCAGATCCCCAGGAACGAGCATGGTACGACTCCCATAGCGATGCATTTTTAGGGACCAACGGAAATACCGATGGTCAACACTCGTACAATGTTCGAATCACAACAGCCGAAGATGTCCTCAGACTCTTTTCGAAGTTCAGTCCTCGGATGGAATTCTCAGACTCCCCAACTGGATTCTTTGGCGGTTTGCGAGAGCAATTCGAACAGCTCGCGCTGGAAGAAAGATTGGCCTGTCAGTGGGAGAATCAAGATCCTATTGAATATCCATCATTTGGATCTGCTGACGATGATTTTGAGACCGTTGTACGGCCCTTCTATGCTGTATGGACCGGGTTCTCCACCCAAAAGTCATTCGCATGGAAAGATGCTCATCGCTATTCTGAAGCGCCTGATCGTCGGGTGCGACGAATGATGGAAAAGGAGAACAGACGTCTTCGGGAGGAAGGCATCCGAGAATTCAATGATGCTGTCAGATCCCTCGTTGCTTTTGTCAAGAAACGTGACCCGCGGTACAAAGTCAATGTCCAAAGTGAAGCCCAACGCCAGGAAATCCTCCGCAAGTCTGTGGCTGCACAAGCTGCAAGATCACGAGCTGTGAATCAAGCCAAGATGCGGGATCATGTCCTCCCCGACTGGGCCCAGTCAGAGCAACCAGCGGCCGACGAAGTGGCAAGCGAAGAGAGCGAAGTCGAGAGTTTTGAATGTGTGGCATGTCACAAATATTTTAAAAGCCAGAAGCAATTCGAAGCGCACGAACGTAGCAAGAAGCATTTGAAAGCAGTTAAACAGCTATGCTGGGAGATGCGAATGCAGAATGACGAATTGGATTTGGAGTCTGAGGATGACTTGAACACCAACCCAGTTACATCTACAGCTCTTCAGGTTGATGAAGGGGAAGATGAGGTTGATGCTGCCCGAGAGGTCGATCTGGGATTAGATACCTCCTCGAAGAGCCATGATGTTGATGCTGAGGATCGAGGAAGTTCGCATGGTCTAGGAGGAACAACCCCTCTGTCCGAGCTAAGCTCCCCAGCGTCTTCGCACGATGACGATTATGCCTCCAGGGAATACGTCGAGACGAGGCTCCGCGCCGACATGGACTCTTTGTCCACAGATGCCGGGGACTCCTCTAATATACCTGATCATCCGTTCTCTTCGGGCCTCACCGAGCAGTCCCCAACTCTCAAAATGGGCAAGGCCAAGCAGAAACGGGCGAAAAAGGCCGCGAAGCAAGCGGATCAACCCACAGGGTTTATTTGTGCAAATTGCCAGGCTCCCTTCACATCCAAGTCTAAATTATTCAATCACATTAGAGAACTCAGCCACGAACAACCCTTGGGATCTGTTGCTAAGAAGGGGAGGAAACGCTAGTGACATTCGTGAGGCTCATTTATGTTTCTTTTTCTTTTTCCTTTCCTTTTTCCTTTTTTTTAAAAAGGAAGGAAAAATAACCGGCAAAAAGATATATCAGGTCTGTCGAGTCTTACATTCCTATTCTCTCTGGTTTAACAAGGCGGCATATGCCGGTTGGGAAATCTTCCCCTTCTTCCTAGCACAAACCCAAACATCTTCTAACCTAACCCAGCCCGCGAATTCTTCACGACCTGTGCGACGGGCTGCAGAATTCCCTTGTTGTCGGCAGCACCCAGAGCAGTACCTGTACTCCATCCCATCTTCTCCAGCATAGCCCGCCCTCGGTTTTCAGCTCCGATTTCCGGAGCAGAGGCGCCAACCACATCGCCATCCATATATGAAGCAGCACCGGATTTTCCGCGCTTGTTTTGGGACAATTTCGGCACTTCGGTGCCCCATGATTTGAACAGACGACGGTTGAACTTCCTCCCGGACAGCAGCTCGTCAACGTTAGATATAGTCTTTGGTGTGTATCGCGGAGTGCGCGCCGTCTTATTGAGAACGGGGAAGCGAGAAAGGCCATGCCCGCGTGACTGTGATTTCAGATTTAGCGCATTGGCCAATTCATGTATCAGCTTTCTGCGTTGCTTGGTCATGGGCGGCAAAGACAGGCTATGTTGGGTTAGCTAGGTCCATAAGGATGAGCAGATATAAACGAACCTATTTTTAGTTGACATAAGGAATGAGCGAATCTCGGTCATAAATTCCTCCATGTTCATTTCCTTAGGGTACTTGACCTTGAGATCTGGGTTCCCTGCTTTTCTACCCAGTAGACCTTGCGCCCGGAGCTCCGCCCGCTCCATCTTCCGCTGCTTCTTTTTGGCCCGGTCTCTCTGCCAGGCCTCCTGTAACTCGATTTCGAACTCACTGTCGGATAGCACCGGGTCAGGTATGGACTGCTTGCCCTTGGCTTTTTTCCGTAGACTTGGCCGGTCAAAGTCCATTATGTCAAACCCGAAATATGGGTCAGACTCAAGAGCATCCGCAAGTGCCGATGCCGATGGAAAAGAAGGTCTTCCATAACGGGAACCCTTCTTCGTGGACCTAGGATATCCGTTCGCCATGTCCTCGAGCAGCACAAAGTCTTCGAGGGTGTCATCATCTGATCCAGATATGACCATATCGCCCTCGTCATCTTCACTTGATGTTGGAATGGAATCACGTTCGATGTCAATTTGCATTTGAGCTAATGGTCTTGGCGATTCAATTTTGGAGCCTGTGGGGCTTGGGGCCGACAGGTCTAATTGCGTTGCAGCTTTTTCAACATCAATGCCACCTTCTAGGTCAATCTTTGCACCGGATGTCACTTCCTGGTAGTTATTGTCAATGTTGGCAATATAGTCGGCTAGCGGGTCGGTCTCTTCTTCTGGTGGCCAGTCTGGTCTCTCCGTGCTGGATTTAAGTTTGCCTCTAGGGGTAGCGGCTGGCGAGGGGTCCTGGCGTGTATCATCCAACGTTGGTGTGTGTGATTTCTGCCTAGATGCGACAGTAGTCGCCTGCACAATTTCTTGAATCTCGTTCTGATGCGTTTCGATAAGAACGGGCTTTGTATTCCTCCTGCGGCCGGTGAACACAACCTCATCCTCACTCGAGTCATCTATATCCGATAATTTGGAATGCAATACTGGGTCGGGGTGCTCGGTATGAAAAACTCCTTGTCCCTTCGAGTCAAAGAAGAATAGAACCTCGGTGTCGGCCTTTTGTTCCAGTATGTTGTCGGTCTCGGGTCCTTCCTTGTTACCCGATTCTGTCTTATCCTCGTCTGTAGGTTCCAATGTCGGTTCCAAGCTTCCCGCGCTCACGAAGTGAACAGCTTTGTGACGAAGGCTGGTGTCTGACCATGACCGCTGATGGGTTTCGGTATTCCGAGCTTCTTGCTGCATAGTAAACTGGTGTGGCGATGGGTCTTTTTTAAAAAAAACAAGTTAGTACATATCCACCAAATGAACAAGAGCACACTAGTTACCTCTACCCAGTGGTGCCCGCCTAGTACGGGCCTTGAATTTCCCATGGCGGGCCATGGGTGTGAATCTGATCTGTTGATGGAAAAAAGAAGTGAAGAGGAGATTCTTTTGCCTTTCGGGTCCGGGCGGTGACGGACATTCTACAAAGGGCAACAAGAATACGTATGGGGTTATACATACATACACATATACATGTAAGACTTATTTTGTACCTTATTATATATAATTTTATTTTAGCCTTTTTCTTAGACTTTCAGAAAGAGAACTTCAATAGGATATAGAGTGTAGACTTACAAATCATTGCATACATTTGCAGTCGGTGACGTCTTGGCTCGTGACTGGAGACTCCCCCTCACCTGGGGAAGATTCGACTTATTAGAGCTTTTACCGTTTGTCTTTTGTATCTTCTTGTTTGTGTTTTCCTCGGTTCTTTTTATGGTTTGATCGCTTGGTTTTAAGTAACCGAGTTGGCTCCCGGTTTGGATATATATATATCTACTCACCTCCGCTCTTGAATCACCGCCCATCCACACCATAAACCACCATAACCACACAACTGAGCGATAGCAGAAAGCTAGCACCAACCATGACTGTGGACATGGAAAAGTGCAAACGCATAGTACAATACTTTTGGGACCCAGAACCCAGAAATGATGCACCCGCAGCGTCGATATGGTGCCTGGGCAGGGAGTATGCACCCCAACAACCATCCAGTGACCCGGCCTGTGAGTCTTGCCCAAATGAATATATAACCCCAGAACCCACCTCTAATATCCCATACAGCCAACGACCCACACAGCCCCTCAAGACAGCCCAATGCTAGCACATTGAATGACACAGCATGGCCAAAAGCATTTATCTCTGATTTTGGGTCGAGGATCTGGATCACATATCGATCAAACTTCACACCGATCCCACGAACGAAGACACCAGAAGCAATATCCTCGATGACATTGGGGGTGCGTCTGAGAAGTCAGTTGATGGACCCCCAGGGCTTTACATCAGATACAGGGTGGGGCTGCATGATCAGATCTGGACAAAGCCTTTTGGCAAATACTTTCGCAGTTTTATTACTAGGACGAGGTGAGAGATGCATCTAATCATGCCGTGAAAAATAACACCCCCCCCCCCC